GCCCGGCCCGGCCGCCCGCCGCTCCCCTCCGGCAGGGCGGGAAAGTCCCCTCAGGGCGCGCCGCGCACAGCGGGGTCCCCTCGCGGTGCCACCCGGGGGCTTTTGGTCCCTCCTGGCGTGCTGAGGCGGCTTTGAGTCCCCTCATGGAGCTCTGTGGGAGTTTTGGGTCGGCCATGGGGCCATGGGGGGGTTTCTCTCCCTTCGTGGTGCCACATAAAGGTCTTTGGGTCCGCCATGGGGCCATGGGGGGTGTTTCACTCCCTTCATGGTGCCGTGTAAGGTCTTCGGGTCCCTCATGGCGCTGTGTGGGGGTTTGGGGACCCTCACAGTGTGGTAGGGGGGCTTCGGGTCTGTTCACGATGCTGTGTGGGGGCTTTTGGTCCCTCCTGGCGTGGTGAGGCGGCTTTAAGTCCCCTCATGGAGCCCTCTGGGAGTTTTGGGTCCGCCATGGGGGGGTTTCTCTCCCTTCGTGGTGCCACATAAGGTCTTTGGGTCCCTCATGGCGCTGTGTGGGGGTTTGGGGACCCTCGCAGTGTGTGTGTGGGGGGGCTTCGGGTCTGTTCACGATGCTGTGTGGGGTCTTTTGGTCCCTCATGGCATGGTGAGGTGGATTTATGTCCCCTCATGGAGCCCTGTGGGAGTTTTGGGTCCCTCATGGGGCCATGGAGGGGGGGGTTCGCTCCCTTCGTGGTGCCACATAAGATCTTTGGGTCCCTCATGGCGCTGTGTGGGGGTTTGGGGACCCTCACAGTGTGGTAGGGGGGCTTCGGGTCTGTTCACGATGCTGTGTGGGGGCTTTTGGTCCCTCCTGGCGTGGTGAGGCGGCTTTAAGTCCCCTCATGGAGCCCTCTGGGAGTTTTGGGTCCGCCATGGGGGGGTTTCTCTCCCTTCGTGGTGCCACATAAGGTCTTTGGGTCCCTCATGGCGCTGTGTGGGGGTTTGGGGACCCTCGCAGTGTGTGTGTGGGGGGGCTTCGGGTCTGTTCACGATGCTGTGTGGGGTCTTTTGGTCCCTCATGGCATGGTGAGGTGGATTTATGTCCCCTCATGGAGCCCTGTGGGAGTTTTGGGTCCCTCATGGGGCCATGGAGGGGGGGGTTCGCTCCCTTCATGGTGCTGTGTAAGGTCTTTGGGTCCCTCATGACACTATGTGGGGGTTTGGGGACCCTGACAGTGTGGTAGGGGGGCTTTGGGTCTGTTCACGATGCTGTGGGGGGGCTTTTGGTCCCTCATGACGTGGTGAGGAAAACTTTTGGTTCCCTCATGGAGCCCTTTGGGGGGCCCCATAGTGCCATATGGTGTCTTTGGGGGTCCCTCATGGTGCCATGTAGGGTCTTCAGATCCCTCATAGTGCCATATGGGGTCTTTGGGTCCCCTCATGGCATGATTTGGGGATTTTGGGTGCCCTCTTGTTATTATGTGGGTTTTGGGGTTTCTTCACGGTGCCATGTAGGGTCTTCAGGTCCCTCCTAGTGCCATATGGGGTCTTTGGGTGTCCCCTCATGGTGCTATGTGGGGTCTCTGTGT